CCCCCCCCCCCCATACATTTTGCTGGATCCGCCACTGACTCGTGCCTCATCATCAGCCAATAACTTCAATGACAGAAATTGATGCAGACGCGTTATCTAGTAAAGCATGGTCAGGTTGTAGAGGGCCTATTTTTTTGTCACATTCTGTGTCACGTTGCTACACAAGGACATGCCAAAAAGCACGCTAAAATGTTTTATTACCGCCCATGCATATGGTTAATACATCTAACATGGATGTTCTGTGACATACTTAAAATAGAGCTCAATATAGGAATCTGTAGTACTGCTGCAACTTTGAAGGAATCAACCAGCAAGATAATGTTGCTTCACAAGTGGCAGAAGAAGTCGAGAAAGGCAATACAATGTGGCTTTTTCCTACATAACTATTTGATAGTGATGCAAACCAACCTAACTTGTCAATGACAAGAACGTAGGTGATTTACATATATGTTAATATCAATGAAATTTCAAATATATAGATGTGGTTCACAATCCCATGTCCGGCCGCAAACAGAAACCTCAACAAGAACAAAATATAGGTAGAGCAACATCGATCGTAGCTAGCAAATATAATGGGAGCTAAAAATAGCTTATACTGTACCTCAACAAATATACAGCACCGATGGCGCCAACACCAACACCAACAGGTAACGCAGCTGTCATGTCGTCAGAGCACTTAAGTGGGACGCTTTAATACAACGCAGCAGTTACACAAGATACAATTTCAAGTCGACCCGCCAACGACCAAGTCTGAATGAAACGCTGACCCTACAGCATTCAAGAGGTCAAGCGTGGACTCGTCAGGTGATCACACTACGTACAAAGATGCCTGGTATATTTACGCCGCTGGTGGCGCTATTCCGCGAAATTGCTTGTTTTGCCAAACTACTGGAGCGGGCTATACTTATACAGTGAGGCAATGAGTTGTGTAACATATTTGTTAGAATAGTTTGAAATACAAGTAGGACATAAATTGTTCACAAAAATGAATTTAATTAAAATGTGATACTATTTGTGTACACATATACTTTACAATACGTTCGATTAAATCAGAATAAACATATTAAATTGAGCTGTGGACTACAGTACCAGTATAGAGCTTGTTAGTATATTAGTATTTACACTGAGGGCAACAAAGGCATGTGCTTACTCATAAATATACTTGTATCGATTTATAAAACCGACATTTTTCAATTC